GGAAGGCTTACTTGACATATTAAAAAATCTACTGAAATCGATTTTTGATTGACATTATTTATACTAAACTTAACATAGCCTTGCCTAGACTGGACCTGAGTCAGCTCTGTCTGGTTGTCAGATTCTAAATTATCTTTCAGTATACATATTTCAAAGTGCAGCTTAAGGACATTGAGATTAGAAGTGAAAGAATTATTATCTTTGTAACATGATGTCCAATTCAAAAACGCTTCGTACATTTCCTGCACGCTTGCTCATATTCTGTTCAACTGCTCAAAGTTCTGAACAGTGTTCTTTTAAACACCTCCATGATTGAAAAATCATTTTATTAGCTGAAAGTGAAACTGTTATGTTGAGAAAGAAGTTGGGCATCCTAACGAATAGAATTTGGAATGCTAAGCAGTCAGCACAGTTATTATCAGTAACTCTTCATAATTTCACTGCGGTGTGATGTATGCTGAGAATGGAAAACTATCTTCTGCATATGAAGCAATGCATTAATACTGAGCGTAAGAGCTCATTGTTGACACTGATAAGTTATTGAAGCAGGAGGAGTAACGATTTACAAGATCGATATGGTAGTGCTAATATGCAGCGTGAAAAATCCATAATTGAAAACTAGAAGAGAGATGGATGTGGTTTGTTTAGCTAGTAGATTAAATAGGTTGTTTTATTTATTTTATCACAGTGATATTGTTATGGTGAGTAACGATCGTTTCTGGCAAACAGTAGCTATATTTTTGGGTCTCTCTGTTTGGAGCAAAGGAGTTATTGGAGAAGAGATGTGATCAAATTATTCCGAAAGGATAGAAAAGTAGGAATTCTTACCAACAACACGTCGTGAAATGAACATTTGTTTATGCAGTTCCAATAATGCACAGTTTTGTTTCTTTGCTTCACTCCCAGTAGTAACTATAATAATTAATTAATTGCAAGTGAAGATATGGTTAGGAGGAATCACTTTATCCACGCTTGATGTGGGAAATTACGTGCGTGCATATGTACGAATGTTGTTCACCATATGTAATAATCACCAAATGGTTTCTGTGAAAAGTTTTGTCCTTTTTCAGGCTCAACACTTGAATGCTAGCATTGAAGAAGTATTGAACGCTTTACGTAGAATGTTCGTTACTGAACCGCCTGTTGCTGATTTTGACGGTAATAACCAGGACGAACATAATCGGGAAGCTATTAACGAAGTGGGAGATGAAGAGACAGAGCCAAGGGAGGTGGAGCAGGAGCACGGCGTAGCTGGTGATGATAATGGTGCCTAAGCTGGTTTAGCTGGAATGCGGTGAAAGTCGAAGGAATAAGAAGCGAAAGGAAGATTTTATGTAAAGGGCTGCATTGAGTTAGTACTTTTACTCCCTCTTTGTTATGCTTCTTATGGCGAAATGATATCTGTTTGTCCGTTTGCTAATGTTTCCATGTGTCCATATATATATATATATATATATATATATTTTAGTCATGGTAGACATTTGGTAGAGTTGCAAATTTTAAGACAGTGCAAAGAAGACAGAAACGAAATCGTTTTGGAAGTATAGGAAGGGAAAAGAGAACAGAGGGAGAAGAGGAGAAGGAAGCACAGATTTACTTATATTTTTATAGTTTTAATAGATTATTTTAACGTTTCTTGTAACAAACTGAGTCATTTCTTCCTATGCTGTAATAACCAAAGACTTCATTATTTTTTACTTTTCGATTCTCTTGTTAATAATTATTTGTTTGAAAGGTAGAGAAAACTGCACGTACAAAAAAACAGAAATCCAAGTTCTGAGTACCTTACTCCAGATCCCTTCATTTGTGGAAGAGAGCTTAAATCAAGCCTATGCAGATGTCAAGCGAAATGGCTAGAATTTCCGAAAAAATATTGTTTTTGTTGGAAACAAGAGTTCTTTTTTTAGCGGTGCAACATTAAACATCAAAGAAAGCAACTAGACGGGTAGAATAAAATATAAATTTATACTGAATTGTAAATTACTGCTATTTTTTTATGAATTATTCGGTAGAATCAAGTTCTCTGTTTAAAGTGGAGGAACTGGACAAAATAAACCAAAGTCAAAAATTAATGGATTTAAATGGAATTCTTCATATATACGAGGACGCGGAAAGTTTAAAACTTTTGGAAAGTGACATCGTTTGATATAAGGAAGTTGAATTTCTCGAAATAATTTGTTCCCATCCTATTTTATCAAAAACGCGAAACTTACACCATTCGTTTACCTTTTGTTTATTGGAAAAAGGAAATGAAAGGAGAAAAGAGCTAATGAGAGGCGATAGAAAAAAAGCTGAAGGCCCTCTCTGCTATTTCCGTACTTCATTCTGCCACTTCAACATTGCAGAAATCGTTTTTTCATGCTAGTTTTTTTTTTTTTCTTTTTTTCTGCCAGCTACGGTAGTCTAATAATGATGCATTTTATCTTAACTTAGTCTTTAAATCGAAATCAATATATTCGTAGAACAAAAGATGTTATTAGCTTAAAGGATCCTTGGTTGTAGAACACATTATAAGAATTCAAGTCCTCTTACCTGCTTTGCTTCATTAAGTCAACTAGCATTTGCGCTAAGAAAGTAGTTTTTCTTCCGATCTGGGTTAAACTTTTATCATCATTTCATACTTTGAATTCGTAAATTTTCCTTACTCTAAGTACAAGATAGAAAATAAATAATTTTTCCTTGTTAGGAAGTTATGTCTTCCACTGGCGATATGGATTACCATCTATTCGACAACAGTTTGAGTTAGTAAGCGGTATTTCACCATTAAAAAAGTGGAAACTTCATAAATGGGAATGAATTCCTGATTTTAACGATGAATAATTTACAAAAATTTGAGGTGAGAGGAAGTGAAGAGTCTATTCCAACATGTTGGATGTTTACCGGTTGAGATCATTTATTGCAAAAAAGTTATTTTAAAAATAATAATTTTTGTGTTAGGAAAATGCAAATGTTGGCGAGAAGCATTAAGGTATTAGTAGTGAATTATCTGCAAAGAAAGATGCAATATTGTAATCAATTTATGGATGCTTAGTAATAATGCTTTACAAAGAGGAATGAGAGAAATTTGAACAGTTTCTAGATATGTATATATGGAAGTGGTAGTTCTTGAAAGAGTATATTTGTTTTATTGGCAGTACTACTAATTCTAATCTAATATTTAATTCTAAAACTTGAGTTTTTAATAGTTATGTTATTCTTAGTTATATGTTTTGTGCTGGGTGCTGTAATACTTTTTCGATCCACTTTAATAATATGCTAAATGGTGAAGTAGTGCTGAGAACTTCAATATCATATAATTTCCCATCAAATGGTGGTGGTACATGTCGCGTTGATAGTAAATATTCGTTACATTACATCATTACGTTACATCATTGTGATTGTCTTTTCTCTAAATATGTACATTTGACACCTTAGCTTTTTCTTCCACTCTCCAATCGTCTATTGTGATGTTGTTTACTAGTTATTTGCTCCTGATTTGTTTGTCTACATGCTTTCTTTTACTGTTTACTATTATATAAATCCATTCGTATATGACAGTCGTATTATTCCGTCATATATTTGCTTCTGCGATGATTTTTTTAGTCTGAAAATGCTTAATAAACGTTTTCTCATTGTTGTTTTTGTTAAGAACCACTAAATCCGCAAATAGTCGGCCAGAGCGGAAATATTTGAAGATTGTGACGAAATCGTTTCCTAAGACGAAGAGCAAGAAGATATAATTGCTTGGCGGAAATAGGAGGTGTTCAAATATTTCAGAGTCGTTACTGCTTTGGCAGTCTTTTATCTGTGAGTTGATATCTGTGGGTAGTCATCACTGAGGTGATTGATGATGGGATGAGGGAGGTCGGAGTACAGGGTTCCGGGTGCTTGAAGTTCTAGAATATAACAACTCTTATACAAAATTCAGTGTTATTTAAATTACATTCAAAATATTGTTCAACTACTCTGGTTCGCTTTTTGGATCCTTTGTTTTATTTGTGATACATTACACGATAATGCAGGTAATGCGCTTTAGGATAATGCACTCTGCACTGAATTCTTAACAAATCATCGCGATCCCATCAATATGATCAAAGAAGAAGAAGAAGCTTCTTCATCACAGGCGATTGTCCTTGCTATTTTGGAAAATAATGAGGATGGCTTAAGTAACGAAGATCTGATGAAGCAGACCGCGGGGATGGATGTCAAAGCACGTGGCGAAGCAGTCAATTCTTTGTTATCGTTGGGTAAGATCGAAATGCTGCCTGGTCATACATCTGGCTCATTTATCCTACGTTTAAGAAAAGGCACACAAATTACCGATGCCACGCATGAGGAACAGTTGGTAAGCAGTTCTTCAAATTTGATTTTTTTTTCATTGTTTTTCATCAATAAATAATTGTGGAAATGACATTAAAATTATACTAATTGACGATCAAATAATTTAAATTTACGATGGTTTGTTTTTTATCTATTAGCGCTTGCATTTTCTTTTCTGTTCGTTCCTCATCATTCAATATTTTTAGGTCATTTTTCATGATCTGCACTATTTGGACTTAAAATCAACTTAAGTTACAGATTTATTCATTAATTGAAGAATCAGGTAAAAAGGGTATTTGGATACGGGAAATTCGTGATCGGACTGGTTTATCGCAGACGCAAATGCGTAAAGTTCTGAAAGTATTGGAACAACGCAAACTTGTTAAATCGATAAAAGTTTCTTTCTAATTTCTCGACCCACAGTTTTTACATTTTGCATATTTGTATAAAAATTTATTACTTTTTTTTAGTAATCTTTTAGTAACTTTTCTCCTTCCGAAGAAAGTTTACTTGTTCATCATTACGATGTACTTGAATTACATTACTTTTCGATATATGACAATCATTATCCATATTAAGAAAATCTTGGAACTATAAAGCATTCATCTTAATTCAAACATTAATTCGCAGTTGCATTCTACTTCTTTTAAAAAAGATGCATCTTTTTACAGGCGGTAGGTACGACAAAAAAATGCTACATGTTGTACGGTGCAGTGGCAGATGAATCGTTGACGGGTGGAACATTCTATTCCGACCAACAGCTGGATTCACAGTTCGTCGAAACTCTAGCACATATTTGTGTTGCGATGTTGCAGGTTGATTTTTGTCATACTTGCTGAAATAGCTGCTTATATTTCGAAAAGAAGGATTCAGACGATTGAAATTCAAATTTCAATCGATCTCAAATCACATTTAGGAGTTAGTTAGCAGGGCAATCGTCCATTCAATATTTGTTTGAAATCTGCTCCGAAAATTCCCTAGAGCACTTTTAAACAGTTTGAATTCCTTGAAAAGTTTTTTAAGAATTATTTTTAAAGACTTCCAGTTCTTTCGGATACTTATCTGTGTTGTTTGATTACTAATTCATATATCACTTCTGATAATAGGGATCTTGTTGAGGATGGGTTACTATTTTGACGTCACTGTAAGAATAGTGGGGTAGTTCGAAGTATTAATGTCATTTGTTGATGTCTAATTTTTCAGTTTAAAAACTATGAAATTAAAATTTTTTCCATTTATATGTTAATAACTGTTTGTTTGGTGCTGCTATGAATTGATTAGTATTCTCTGCTTGAGCGAACTATACCGTTTTTTCCTAACTTTGAATTTTAAACTTCGAATCAGCATTCACTATGTGGTGTCCAGGATAACAATAAGAAAGAGCATTGTAGAGCAAGCGGAAATTCTCTGAGGATAACCACAAAAATGACCCTGCAGCTGCTCGGGAGTTTGCGTTCGTTCGTTCCACCGAGGTGGCGCAATTCATTCGCGAAAAGGGTGTTTGTCGTGTGCAACTCAGTGTTGCGGATATTGAGAGTATCCTGTCAGTAGCACTGTTAGATGGTTTAATTGAACGACGTGCAGACGGTATGTACCGGGCCCTGATATCTAAGATTACCCGTTGTGCTCCATCTCTTTGTCCTTGTATTCACTGTCCCATTCAAGCTGATTGTAAACCAGGTCATGTGATTTCACCGCAGAACTGTGAATATTTTGCGAGTTGGTTGGGTTGGTAGCAATCGGATATACCAGGTTATGCAGGTTGTTTTGTCTGGGAACTACTAGACTTTTATTTCTTGTCTTAAATCAGTGCATTACATCTATGGTGTTTAGGTCCACGATGTTTTGCTTTTTTTGTATTCATTTCACATTTATAGATATTTCTGTATTGTTTTTTTTCTTTTTTTTTATTGCTGAACATTTGTTATGCATTGGAAAATAAACTTTTCAATTCTCTCTCTCTGTCACACTGTTTTCATTTGTCAGAATTTGCCTGGTTCTTCACAGTTGAAAGGTTCTCTTAAATTGAACGAATATATAATTTGGTTTTTCCGTATCACCTGCCGTAATCTTTCTCCATAACACTGTGCTTTCATTGATCCTAGAGAAGGTTTATCCAATTTGGGTAGGGGATGAAAAAGTTTCATATTTATCGGTTTCCATTCCAGATGAAGAGTTTCTCCATTGATACACAATTTAAGCATCCCATGAATAGTAAGGTTTAAATGCTTCTCGGGAGAATGTGTGCGTAGCAATAAAAAATTCACGATCTCTAAAACTGAACTGACTTAGCATCATAATTCTGTAGCTGACCAATGAAATGTTGTTTCCTTCCATTTATCCATCATACAATGCTATTGCAGAGGTGCTCAAATTAAAATTGTTGATTCAAATTAATCCAATCGAAGGAAGATCTGAAAATTTGGATTCTTCTCTACTCACTTGTGAGTTCAAAAAGTTGAACATCTATTCCCTTTCATTATAAAATGAAAATTATAAATCCAATTACTGTACATTGAAAGTCAAAAAACGATTTTACTTTAAAAATTGTCAACTCAAATTAATCCATTTGAGGAAAGGTCTCCAAATTTGGATTCTTTGCTTTAAAAAATATTAAAATGTTCCCTTTTTCTCTTCAGTTGAGGAAGGTGAGGCAATTTTTATCAACCGTTTGATCCGAAAAAAATTTTTTTTCCCAATTATCTCAACTGAAGAGAAAAAGGAAAAAAGGAAACATTTAAATACTTTTAGAATAAACTTCCCACTGCTTTTTAAAAATTAAAGATTTAAAATTTTTAAAAACACTAAACACAATCAGTGCTCATTCTTGTCGTTTGTGACATTTCGAGATTTGCCAATGAGACATCTAGCTCATATGAATCGAAATTTATTTCTTTTTGTTTTTAGTGTTGATATACAGATCACGGGAGAAGTAAACAAGTGAATGTTTCTCGTATTCTGCATTGATTTCATTAAAATGATGGTTTCGAGGCTATTTCAAGCTTAGTAGCCAAAGGTGAAAAGGAAAGGATTATATTTCGGAAATACAATTCATCCCATTCTATTTTCATCATTGTCGATGATTTGGATGGACTTATTGCCTAGCAATTTAGCAGAAGTAAGTGCATTTTCAATTCAATTTCAATTAATTTAGTTCAGACCTGAATCAAAAAATCAAAATTACACTGTGTAGAATTTGGGAAACAAAAAGTAAACTTTCGGGACTTAAATATCATCGAGACTTAACGCTCCCGATGATATTAATAATCCCGGTAGCAATTCGGGACAGAATGAACTTTTTCATTTTGAAATAGCCTCAATGAAATCAGCTGGAGAAAGAGAAATTTGGTACAAAACAGCCGTTAAATTCAATAATTTTGCATATTATATGCTAATAATTTCTATTAAAGCTAATTAAGACTTAAAGCATCGGAATGCATTCATCGAGAGGATCAATTCCTTCCTCATTTTTGTAGCCATTCAATGGGATCTTTCCACTCAGCTTCATTTTTATTTTCAATTCTTATTCATTCTATACAGATCAATGATTTTGGTTTCAATCAAATAGTTGCAATTTATATCCCTTTTTTTTTTCTTCGTCAGTTCAATTTTAAAATCGCGACCAATTGATGGGAAGATTAGAAGGAAGGTTAAGAAGAAAGAGTCAACCTCAGTTCGTAACGAATTTCATGTCGTATACGAAACAATCCTTTTAAAACATATGGAGCTTCTGTTAATTTTCATTGAATGTTTGATGATTTACATTGCATAGTAATTGATAGGAAGAAACATTCTTGAAATCAGATAGTATCTTTATTGGAAATTGAAAAAATACCGTACTAAGGAAGACCTATTTACAAAAACGGCTTCACTAAAAATATATTATGGAGGGTTTTTTAAATAATATTGGTTTTACTGTATAATCGTACCTCTGTTCTTCCTGAATAAATTACGATATTTTAAGGAACTGCCTAAAATGATTTGTTGAAATCAGTTCCTAAATGCTTATTATGCATCTCTGAAGTGTTTTGATTATTTCATTCCCAAAATCAAAATATGTTTATGTTGAAAATGATGCAGAAGCTTGAGAAATTGATAATTAGGTCTATCTTCTATAGAAGGTAAGGTTTAGTTAAAATACTATTGAAGTTCGTTGAGTAATGTATACCTTCCAGAAAAGAAAAAAAAACGATTCAAACTATCTTACGTAAATACTAAAATTACTGTCACTGTCGTAAATGATCGTGATAAAGGGGAGTTTGGTGGTAATGACAAACTTATCGGTATTTCAGGTTACTCAAATTATTTATCAGTTTCGTTAAATATGACAGCGATAAGAAGTGCTGATGTTCAGCTAAGATGATTGTAATAGCTGTGGAAAATGATACTACTAGACTAAACAACATTCACTGAGACCGTAAAAAAGGGAAGATGGATGACTGATTTGATCCGAATTGCTCGTTAGACTTGGGAATAGATCGCCAATCAGAGCAAATGTTACACTCGATGTTCGTATAATTTACTATTCAGAATGTGTTCTGTAAAGGTTTCTTAATGCCTTTACAGTCCATATCATATTGCATCCAAAAAGGTCCCCAAAATTATGATCGCATTGAAGCATCGAATCCGTGATGTATTGTTACTTAGAGAATGGTGAGAACCGTTCAGGAAGTGAATGAAAATTTTGAGAGAACAATCTTCCGATCGAAAAGAAATAAAATAAAAAGTAATCGTTGGAGAGAAATCTTTGAGATATGAAGGGAAAGAGTTATTGAAAAGCAACGATAACAACAGTTGATGCTGCTTATTGCAAAAGAACGGAAATTTAAAAGTGAGTATCGAAACTGGTGAGGTGATAGAGATACTTCCAACGGCTAACAGCTTAGCTGTTAGCAGTCATTAGTTGGTAGGATGAATGCGATATAATCAACCAACAGCTGGGAAGCTTGAGTTTGACAATCTCGAGATGTTGCTTTAAAGAGGGATATGGGACAGAAAAGAGTAGAAGAACTATGAAACAGAATATAGAATATGAAAGAGACAAAAAAGCCAAGCGAGATATTAATGCTGATAGTGTGAAAATCTCGAGCTCGAAGCCTGAGGTGTTAAACAAGCGCAGAATGGAATGAAAGAATGATGGGGAAGGAAATGCAGATTGCCAATGTGGTAATTTATTTCCCTCCTTGCTTCATCCTGCTGTTCCTCTCAGTTCTCTTGGTATTTCCATTCGTCCATCATTACTATCACTACTAACTAATCGTACCCGATCACCATCACTATCTCATATCATCCCTAACATCATCATCGCCACCATCACCGCTATCGCCACCGTCGTTTTTACCGTCAACGTCACCTCCATCATTATTTAATTCTTCCCGATCAAAACTATTGCGGTCAATTACTCCGCGCTCGTTCAATCTGTCTATCTGTGTAGGTGTGTGCGTATGTACACCCTCCCAGTCGTGCTGTCGTTATTATCACTTGTACACACACTTATGATATAGATGCTCTTCTCAGGAAGTTCTTCAACAAAAGTGAAAAAGGATGAGAAAAAGGAGAAGAAATTAGAGAAAGGTATGCTTTGTCTCTTTCATCTTTTTCTCACCCCTATATGCATACTCATTCCATTTATGGCTTAATTAATTTTCAATTCCTCATTGTCCTGCAATTGTACTTTTGTTTACTTAATTGAAGTTTTCCCTGATTTAATAACTAACAAATTAGCATTCTCAATTATGTAAAGCTCTCTTCAGGTGTCACATATCATTTCGTCCTTTGTCCATCTCTCTTCCTCTTTCTTTCTTTTTTTCCTCTTCACTTATGGCTTTATTTCACATGAAAGCAATATAACTGATCAAAATGTCCTTCATGTACGTTCTTCATTCAATGCATTCATTTATTGTACCACTTTTTGTCCCAAAATAATAGTAATTTATTGAAACTTCCAAATTAATAGAAGCGATGAACTGAAAAAGTTTGTTTTAGGTGTTTACTTACTCATAACTTTATTTCATGTTGAGGAATGTATTCTTTGAAATGAAATGCAATCATTCTCAATCCGATGAATATATCTGTTCAAAGTTTGCTAATCTCTTTCATTAAACAATCTTTTCAAAAATTATACCAATTCCTTTTGGGCAAACAATATTTTTAAAACTTATTATTGTTCTCTATGAATTGCCAGCCATATCATTGCCTTAATTGAAATAAAGTGATTCATTCACAGGAAGCTTTTTTTTTTTGTTTTTGTCCCAAGGTAAATACACAGCCAGATATTAAATGCCGAAATGAGCTTTAACACCTTCAAGCAATTTCGTTAGTATCGATAGTGCTAATGAAACAGTAAATAATAGGCTTTTTGCAGAATTTAAGTTGACTATTTTATGCAGAAATATTAATATCTAAAAACCAAATCCTCTTCTAATTCCTTCCACCCGAGAAGAGTTGGCAGTGCATGACTTCTGGAAAAGTGTCTTCCGACAAAAGGTAATTTTTAAGAATTCTAGGATATCTTTCGGATATCAAGACAAGTCATTTTTAACTATTCTTCCTGTCCTATTGCAAGCATTTTAGGGCTTTGTAAGTCAATTAAATTTAACACTGTCAAGGCCGTAAAGTTACCAATTCCGTGTTGATTATTCCTTCACAACCACCAGAAATGTCTTGATTCACACCCGTCTGACCAAGATACTGATGACATGACGGTTTAAATGAATCATTCCAGCCTCAGTCGATCTTTTCTCTTAGTTTGTTTAAAGTTTCCGAGAGTTGTATACTGTCGTATTACTACATCATTCAATCGTTCAACTCCTCATTTAACGACAACAATTGCGAGTCACAGATTATGTGACGGAACGATTTTTTGACTAAGATTTTTATGTTTAATAGGTCAAGAAACAATTACTTTTGTTTTTATGGAAGATTCAGTCTGAAGAATTAATTTCAGTAATTAATTGAGAATTTAGAACTCCGAATAGCACGACAAAAATTTTTCAAATTTATTAAATAAACGAAAATTGCTCAACTTCACCGGCATTATTAAGCTTGATTGTTTTTAATAGAAAAAAATCACTTTACAACTTAATTCCATCACTGTCATGAATTTGGCCTTATTAATTCAAGTTCTGGCCTAGTCCAAAAGCAAACATAAAATGCTATATATTTTTGCTCTCATAAGTTGGCTCTTTCTGTGCTAAAAAAATATTTCATTTATTTCACTGTTTCACTTTTTCCATTTATTCCATATCACTTTCCAAGTTTACTTAATGTTAACCTCATAGAACTAACCGAACTATTCAATTTTTAATTGAATTTAGAATTTTACAATTTGTACGGTTAAAAACATTTCGAAAAATTGAAGTACTTGTTAAGATTGAAAAACATAAGTCCATAAGCATATCATATCATTAACATCTAAGAGGATTTTCGAGACTATCGGTTCATTCATTGTAATATATTTTCAAGAATAATTCAGCGACCAAAAACGGTGCTAAATCTTTTTTTTTGATTCGTCTTCTGATATTCCGGTTAAACTAGGAGGGTTTTTTGAAGTACTTGTTAGTAGCTTTCATTGACTGCTTAACGTAGCTTAGGTCAGAATAATTCTAACAATTAATTTTGATTGATGCAGAAATGTTACAAAGAAAAATATAAAATTCATCAAAGGAAATAGTTTCCAGATGACCGATACGATATGCAGGAAGCTGTATTTATACGTTGGGCGAATTCGTTGGCTGGCGGAGTAGTGAAAGAACTGAGCGATGTTATGGATACGAAGTTTCTATCTATTTTTGTGCAACTTATCACGGGCGATTCATTTGTAAACTTTATAAATACTTTTGGTTTAAAATATCTTTAAATCGGAATGCAGACTTTTGATGAATTTTTATTTTCGATATCATTTAGGAATTTCCATTTAAATCCTTCTCTTTCTTTTTCTTGATCTGAAACTAGGGACAGAATCATTAATGGATGGATAGACCCATGGTTAGTCATATCCATTACACACTGAGATGTTAGCTATTCCCCTGCTATACTAAATGACTAAATGACGTTCGTGTCCTGATAATATATATATATATATATATATATATATATATATATATATATATATATATATATATATATATATATATATATATATATATAT